GAAAAGGTTACTTATCGTACGTTACGCGAGGTTTTGAATTGTGGAGCGACAGAGTCGCAAACTTCCGAACCCAACACTACGTTGTATCAACACAAATATTTTTTTTTGGACGACAGAAATGCATTAAACAGTCCCCCTTTTTTTATGAAACCGGAATTCTAAAAATAGATTACTATAAATTTCATAACGATTATTTTAGAATTCAGATGACACTCTTTTGTTCCCATATAGGGTCACTAAAAAACAGGGACTGTTTTAATGACTTTTAGAACACCCGGCATATATGCGATATTTAATTTTTTGATTTTTTTTTGTTTCTGGTTTTGTTGTTACTGTAAAAGTACAGTACTAATATCTAATATCAAGCAATTCGCAATGAAGTTGTCCCACAACTTTATAGCACAATGCTTATTTATAATATCTTTTTGCCTGTTTATGACATCAACGAAATCACAAGATACACGATTGACCACCTTCAACTACACGGAAAATACAACAAATACTATATTTCCTCAAAATGCTCCCAAAATAGTAAAAATTCGAACTTATGATGATGGGACAATTCTTGTTCATCTAATACGATATGGTGTACAACAAGCCAATTGTTTTGGACATAGTTTAGAACCGATATTACGTATAAGAGTTATTCACTTAAATGGAACTGTTATCGACATTAATTCTGATTTGGATATGGATTCTTTGAATTATTGTCTTTTTACAAATATTTATGGAGTTTTAGTTAATCCTATTGTAATATACCCTTTACAACAACCGTTCATTTTAATAAATTATTATAAAGCTAAAAATTTTTCTGATCCTAAAACTTATGAAGAGTGGGGACAGGTCATTGATTGGAGTGGCAAAAATTTAAGGTGCGTGTAAAAAATATTGTATTTTATAAAAATTATTAACATCATTATTACTTTATTAAGTATTAATGGTTTATTATCCTATAAATCACCAGTAATATACGTTATGGCTCATCTTATATTAATCCTCGAGGTGTTTGGACTCCAATTAGTAAAATTCAATTAAATATAAATAAGAGACTCGGATTTCTTAGATATTCTGCTATAGAAAATGGTACATCGCAGGGGATCGAATTTCAGCAATATTCAGTGTAATTTAACTTTTCTAATATTAATTATTATTATTATTATTATTATTATTATATTAATCGATTATTATAAATATATATAGTGATAATTCTGGAAATATATCAATGCTTACAAATGAGAATTTTACACTTCCATATTTTACCTCGATTCAGATCGCAACAATTTCTACTGTTAATAGTGGTTATGGTATATTTTACGCCATTTGTTCGGATAATGAAACCGATTTATTAGCCATAAAGTGCACATTGAATGCTAAATTCGTATCATATAATCAATCATCTAATAAAAGAGTGGCCGTTCTCTACGAACTAAGTCGTAATGTAAACATGTCAGGACTTTATTGTGATTTAGTATCTGTTGGTTTGGGTCATGCTTGTACAATGGTCGTCGATTCCCAAATAATAGTAAATACCTCAAACATAGTAAATAGCACAAATTTAGCAAATAATGCAACAACCAATATCACAAGTAACTTGACAAATCAAACATATTTTATAAGAGTTAACTTTCTATCATCAGGATCAGTGTTATCGTCGACTGTAATCACCGATATCCTCCCTTTTTTCGCTAATATGACTGTGCCCGCGATAGGTTGGAGAATGAAAGCGATGCCGTTCGGTGGATATATATTGGACAATAATGCTTATAATAATAGTGATATAAGCTATCATTATGTTTTTGCTTATGACGAAAATAACATTCAAACTGCTTTGGTACGACCAGGTCCTTTTATTACAAACATTTATGGTGTAAATGATATTATGAGAAATAATAATACTCTTTTACTTGCTTCACCTTATACAAATAATCAAAATAATTCTTGGACCTTGTTAACCATTGAGTTACCTAAAGTTTTAAAAAGTTTTGGTATGTTTTTTATATAATATATAAAACCTTGTTCTTATTACGTCATTATTTTTAATATTCCATTTTATTTATTTAGATCATGGTTACGGTAATTTTTGGATAGATCAAACTTTTCCTTCCATAAATGCCACTGTCAGTCCATTAACAACTACTTTAAGCATTACATTTTATAATCCTGTTGCTTTTTCATACGATTCATCAAACAGTTACATCGCTATCTACAAAACTTCTGATTATGGAATTAGACAAAAAGTCACGCCAAACATGTATAAATATTGTAAAATTAGTCAAGATGGAAAACAAATTTCTATAAATATTATTAGTAGTACATTTAATCAATTCGGTGATTATTACATACAAATGGATAATGATTTTGTTAAAAGTAAATTTTATGGTGAACCTTTAACAGGAATTGCCGCTGGAATTTGGAATATTAGTTCATGTAATATTTGATTTTCCTTTTTTTAGTTATTTAATATAATGCTTATACTTTGCTTATACTTGCTTATACTTAAATAATTTAGCTTATAAGTCGAATTCTTCAGGTATTATATCAAATATTTACGCTTTGTTATTCTTGATGTAACTTTAAATCCTATTTCATATCTTTTATAGATATGACTGCTATTACTGGTTCCCTTAGTCTCACAAGTAACGGGCTAGAAAATTTCTTTTCATATCCTAATCAATCAGAATATTTTAAGAATTTATTAAATGAAATTTCCATTAAATTACCAGTTAGACGTGATCGTTTAAGTACAAATGAAAAATTTCAATATATTAATTATGGTACATCTAATGTACAAATTATTTTTTCTATTCGTATAAATCCAAGAAATTCAACTACTGAAAATACTGCTCAAAGTGTTGTTTCAGATTTACAAACTATGATTATATATAAAGAAATCACATCATTTTCTAATAATTTAACAAATGATTTGGATGATAATTATGGTTTCACTGTACAAAGTAAGTTGAACAATTATTTTTATATTATTATTATTATTATTATACTTGTAGGATTATATGACTAACTCTATGTTTAGAAAGTTTATGGGAAGAATACGTAGAATATATTTGTGTGTCGATTTTGATTCTTGTGATTATCTTAATATTATACATAAAGGATAAACCGAGTGAACCGAATAAACCAAAAAATGCAATAAATGTCCTTATATCGATACACAAGACATTCAAAGAACTCCTTTTAATTTGGGTTAAGAAAAATGATTTGAATAAAGCAAAAGAAATAGCTCATACAATCTCAGGTTTTGCACTCATTTTAATTAACGTAGCTTCTACAGCTTACTTTGTATTTATCAATTCTAAAGATATACCTGCTCTTATTTGGCCAAGGTATTTCATATAAAGTATTATTGAAGTTAGTGTATACTTTTAATATTATCGAATTAATTTTAAATTTTTTTTTTTTTTTTTTTGTTTTACTATCTCAAAGTAAAATTATCTGGTGTGTTCCAATAGTTATAAATTTATTAATAGCTATCATATTGGGACTTAAAAAACTCTTTGAAAAACTTGGAGCTGAAATTAAACAACTTAAACCATATAAACCTACTAAAGATAAACAACTTGAATCTACTAAAGATAATCAACTTATATCTACTGAAAATATACAACATAAATCTATTAATGAGGAATATAATCGAATAATAGAAATGTCTGAAGAAACTTTTACCAATGAATTTTCCGAAATTTTGAAAATAAAAAAAGATGAAAAGATAAATGATGATTTTTCTAAAATTAATATAGAAAATGCAATAAGCAAAAGTATGATACCTAATATTTTGAAAAAATTTCATAATAAAAAGGATGAACCAGAAAGTTCTGATAGTATTAAAGAAGGTCAGGTTTTTATTGCGATACGAGAAGAAATTGAGATTATATTATTAAGAGAACTTTTCTATGTGCGTTTTCAAAAAAGGATAAAAGAAAAAATTCAGAATTTATTAAAAGAAAATATTTTTCCTAGTGGAATACCTGAAATTTCTGATAAACTGGCTGAAAAAATTTCTAATGACATGTCCGAAAAAATTTCTTATAATTTTAAAACAAAAATCTATGACAAAATTAAAAAGCATTCCGAACAATTCTTTGAGGAAAAACATTCTAAACAATCTGAGATACCTTTAAGTACAGTGTCTGATACTATACAAAGTATACAAGAAAACCTTCCTTCAATACTCTTAAATATTTCTTCTAAAATTGAAAGCGTAAATAAAAATTTGGGAGAAAAATTAGAAAGGGATTCTCTTAATAACAGTTTGAAAGCTATTTTCATCAAACATGTCAATGAAGAAAAAAAAGAAAAAGAAGAAAATGCTGCAACATTGTCAATGTTTATTCTTTTTATAATAGCTGATAGTGAGTCTTTAGTAATTTTGGATGACCTGAGAAAAAGATTTATTAAGGAAAAAAAGAAACATCACCTGGCTCTAATTAGAGTATTTATAGAAATTATTAAAAATATTCTACTTATTATTATTATGGTACGTAAATAATTTTTATTTATTTATTAAATATATATAATTTTTATTTAATTAATTGTATTTTATATTCCTTATTTTAAATAGGGGTTTTATGCCTCATCTGTTGTAATTTATGGTTTTATACCATTCATGGCATTGATTACATCCTGCCTTAAGTGCATTTTGAGCAGTATTTTGAGTGGTATCCTTATTGTAAATTTGAATTCAAAACCAAATAATCAAAATAATTATAACTTCTATGTAAATTGAATTTATTAGTAATAATATTTTTTATATAAATAAATTGGAATTTTATATAAATAAATAATTGTAAGTTTGTTTTTATTAGTATTACTGTATATTAAGTCTAGAATAAATTATTTATCCCTTAAACTGCCTGTTGTGACGTATAAATTTATATGCTAAAAATATTTTGAAGAAAAAAACATCCAAAAAAATTTTTATAAAATTTTTATTATAATTGACTATGACGATTATCCAAGATTTACCCATTTTGCACCATTAAAAGAACATAATTTGGTGTAATGTAACAAGATTAGAAAATTCAAAACACAAAAATACATTACAGAAATAAAGAAATACAAATTTAAAATAAATACTTGAAATAGTTTATAAATGTTGTGCTCCAGACTAACGCTTGTCTCAGATACACCTCAAATGTAGATCATCAGGTGAGAACATATCAATCAGTGTGATCTTATGCATAACTAATTAATAACAATATTTTTTATTTTATTAACTAGGCGCTTGAAATGCTTAAAGAGAGTTGGAAATGAGTATAATTTATAATAAAACTTTATAAGAGCTTTCCTTTGAAACTAAACTTTAATGACATGCACTTAGAGAATAATAAGAAAATGTACGTTTATAAAGGTCAAGGGTATATATAGCGAAACCTGTAAATGTATCATCTATAAATACACATCCTCTTTAAATGCATGCTTAAATTCGAACACAAATCTATACATGATTTTCATAAATGCATTTTTTCTTATTGTTCATTAAGTACACATTAAAGTTCAGTCTCAAAAATGTGTACTTATGAAAGTTTTATTGTATTTGGGTCAGTTATTTAAAAAGACTTTTTCAATATATTATAATAGTGAAATTATAAAAGAGGTATTTATTTTAATAATTAATAAATTATTTATTAAACAAAAACTAAAAGTTTAGTTTTAGAGCTTTTCTCAGTGTTTAGGTATTATTAAAGCCTAAAACTTAACCACCTAGAAAAATAAAAGTGAGATGAACAACTTTACTTAAGAGTGCAAATAAGGTTTACTTAGTATAAATATTAAGAAATGTTTTTAGCAAAGATTTGATACAAGTAATTTATGAATAGAGGTAGAAATTGTTATTTATAAGTTTATATTTAGTAAACATTATAATATATATTTATTATAATATATATTTATTATAATAGGGTAACTATACAATGCAATTATACTAAAAATTAAAAATAAAAGCAAATATATTAATATATTGTAAAACATTTAACAATATTATAGGCAATTGACTTATTTAACTGATTAAACAAAAGTTTATAAAGCATCATATAATAAATTATCAGATTATTAGATTATTTAAAAAAGTATTTTACTATTAGTTTGGATGATTTTTGATTATCATTTAATTAATTTAATAAAAAATCTTATGAAAAAAATAAATATATTAAATATCAGATAAATAGACAAATTAATTTGTATAAGATTACTAATTTGAGTCTAAAATTTTTGCTTTATTATTATTAGTTATTCTAATTTATAATATTATATATTTTTGTATTCAATTTATTACATATTTATATGCATGTAATTTATATATATAATAAATTACTTTTAATTTTTTTTGATTGTTAAATATTATTTCTATTTAAGACTAAAATAATTGTAAAATATCTTATTTGTTAAATACTTTTTTATTTATAATTTATTACTTTTTTTTAAAGCTAAAACAGTAATGATCACTATTAAAAAATTTTATATATTTTATATATTCTAAATGTTTTAAACTTTTGTATTACTAGTTAAAAGCATGGCCTCATTGTTAGTATTTTAAAAAATACTTCTGTATTACTGAACTGTTTATATACTTAAATGATCAGAATATTTTGATCAAGTCTCCAAAGATTTTTTATTAACTTATATTTTTTTATTATATAATTTTACTTTAATAAAGTAATTTATTTTTTTGTTTTAATTAGTTATTAAATATTATTTAAAAAATAATTTGAACTATTTATAATTGATTCTTTTAATCCAAAATATTAGAAAAAAAAGAATTAAAGTTTGCAAAAATTATATTAAATTAACTAATAATATTAGTGTTTAAAGTCTAGTAAATCTAGTTATGCCATTAACTTACCTTATAATTAATTTGTTAGTATAAGATATAGATATTAAAGTAATAATATTAATTAATCTTAAAAAGCTGCAAATCAGTTTTACAAAAGGCTGTAAACTATAACTAAAAATTACAAATAATAATATGTTAATAATTTTTAATTTTAACTAATCAAAATATTTTTTGGTTAATTTTAAATTAATTTGTATTTTTGGTAAAATAATATATATTATATTAGGTAAATTTTTATTTTTTGACATTAAAATAAAATTTTACTTATATTTTTTATTAGTAGTTTTAAGATTAGTAACTATATAGAATTTCTAAGTACAAATAATTTATATAAATGTAATAGTTGAGATTAACACTCATATTTAGAACTAACTATTAAACTACTAACTATATATAACTAACTCTAAGTACAAAAATAGAAAAACTATATTCAAAAATAAAAACCTATACATATTTATCTGTAACTTAAACTTACTAAAATAATTAAAACTCATCTAGTTTTGGAATATTAAATATAATTAAAATATATATTATATTTAATCTATAAGATAGTTTATATATTAATTTTTCTATTAGTATGACTAATAGATAAGAATATATTGGTATTAGAATGTACTTAATTAAATAAGCCACATAAACAAGAGTATATATAAATACAATATGTATAATTAGTTTGTTTGTTATAGTTGTTATAGTTAGATTATAATAATAATCTAAAATATAAAAATTTAAGTTTTTGTTGTTTTTTTCAATTTAAAAAGTTTATATAGTAAAGTTTTTAAAGTTGTTTATAACAAAGTTCATTAATTTTAAGAAGTATTTTAATAATTATTTATAATGCTAGTTTATAGAATATATTAAAAAATTAAAAATATAAAGTAAAGATTTGAGTTATAAAGTTTTTAAATATAATATCAAAATAAAATAAGTTATAATTAAGAAGTATATTGTGAAATGTTTTATGATTTAGAATTATTTAGATAAGTTCATCTTGTTAAATTTCAGAAAGATTTATATTTTGGTTTGGTTAATATGTTTAAAAATAGTAGTTTGTACAATGTTCAAGAGTAAAGCTAAATTAAAGCATATTGGTCAATATATTAAAATGTTAGATAAATTGTAATAAAAACAGCTTATATTAAAGAAAATATGTAAATATGTTTTTAACAAAGAGAATGAGTATAAAGTTTATTTAGTAATATTTTTATTTTAAAGAACTTAAGATAGTTAATTTTAAAATTAGTCAAATTATATGTTAGTTTTTGGTTATAATTAATATATAGCCAGATAGATTTCTAATATATTTTTAAAATAAAACAGTTCTATTCTTGGTTGCATTTCTAAAATAACCACATAGGCTTTGCAGATATTTTTATTATAACTTCTAGTTGGCTGTTTTATAAAATATTAATTTTAATAAAGAACATAATATAAGTTATAAATATTAGTATAGTGCAACAGATAAATAATGAGTTTGTTACTACAACTAATCAGATATTATATAAAATTATGAATTCAGAGTAATAAGACTTCAAAGTATAGATAAAAATTTGGCATATATTAATTTATTTCTATAATAATTTTAACCTTTTTTTCTACTACTTAAGAGTGCCAAAAATTATTATTTCTTTATTAAAATTTTTGTCTTTTTATACAATTTAAGCTTTACTAATAAATTTTATTTATATTTAGATTACATTTTTATTTTTCCATTATTCTGCCTTTTTTCAATTGTGCAATTGCAAGTTTTACTTAACCAGATAAGTATCTTATTTTAATTGTTTTACTTTTATTATAAGCTATTATAAATATGCTAACTTGTCCTTTTTTAACCTAGGTCTCACTACTCTGAAACATTACATCTACAGTCAAATGTTATCCTGATTTGGTTATATTCACCTTGCCTGATGTGTCTTGGCATAGAGAAGAGACTCAATTATGCACATTTCACTGTTTTGTAAGTTTTTTATACATGTATAATCTGTAAGTTCTAATTATCATTTATGTTATATATTATTATATATGAATTATTATGTTTCTGAACTGTAATATTTCTCTAGCATTTATCTTATATTACTATATATTAGAAGTCTGGCAGTTGTTTTATTACTTGATTATCTCTGTGATAATGTTTTTTTGATGTATATAAAGAAAGAAGTATTATATTTTCTTGAGTCTTCTTGCTGTTTGGATTAGAATTTCTTGTTTGCTAGTGACTTTTCTTTTGTCTTGTCATTTGAAGTTCCTTTTTTCTTTCTTGCCAAAGGTTTTGAAATAGCAGATTATAGTATATATTTGTTGTTAGTTATTATTATTTATTTTTATTTTATTTTTAGTTTTTTTTTTTTGTTTTTTATAATTTTTTTTGTTTTTATTTAATTACTATAATAGCTTTTAAGATTTTGATATTAATAAAGGTAGCCAGCACTTTTTCATCAATTATTTACAGCTTGTAGATGTTGTTTAAAAGTTGATCATATACATAATATAGGTCTAACTATTTAGGTTTAAATTTACTACTTCA